TCAGCTACAAACATAACCACCTACAGAACTGCAAGAACCCTCCCAGTGACCACAATAGTTGTGTAAATGGACCGTAGAACCCTCCCACTGACCTAAAATGCTCCAAATGACCTTGAGAACCATTAAAACCTGAACCTTCTCTAAAATGTGCAGGTGAAATTTGTGACGACAGGCCACAGGACTGACATCCAACATGTGTGAAGGCAGATGGTTTATATATCTATATGTACAGATGTTATGTGAAGGTGCCTTCTTGAAGAATATTTTACTTCTGTTTAAGTAACTCACACTGCATTTAATCCAAGTGAAAACCATTATGTGTATTTCATACTATGTCATCATAGTATTCTCTAAGTAATTAATCATTCTGTTGATTATTTTCTCTATTAATTGATTTGTTTGATTTATAAAACGTCAGAAAATAGCCAAACATGTCCATCAGTGTTTCCCAACAGTGACAAGTGTCTCGTTTGGACTAAAATATATTTATTTTACTTTCACAAAGCAGGAAAGGAACCATAAAATATTTAAATTTAAATCGCTGGAATCAGAGAATTTAGATGTGTTTGTTCTTAATAAACTGTTTGAAGTGATTAATCGATGGATTTCGTAGTTGCAGCTCCACTATTCTGTATCAATACGCTGTTTATCGTCTGTATCTTGTCACATGAATAAAAGCACAGAACAAACAAACATCAACAAGAAAAACAATCCAGCATCATTAACGTCTGGGAACGTGTCTTGCAGTGTCAGATATTCTTCAGTTTTTCCACTCAGAGTTTCAACGAGGCCCATTACTTATGGCCAGATTATTGCAGCCTGACTTACATGAGTAATAGAGAACATTAGATGTTTAACTGTATCACTGGAAAAATGGGAGAAATCTGCGCTGAGGCCAAACCATCGACGAGCCATCGCTGGACGCCAAAAACAAATGACAGGAATTAAGATGTAAATCCTCCATAAAGTCAGCTTTGTGATGATGCACACGTTCAATCGGCTGTAAACTGTCTGTCCTCCGATATACAAGCGTGATTATAACCATATACAAATACATGCTTTGTTCATAAACAACACCAGCCACCAGAATGAGACCTGAACTGTGAACAGCGGAGATCAAAGTGCTTCGCAAAAATACCCCATTTTCCCTAAAAGCACTAATGACTCTTTTAAACACCAGTGCGGTAAACACATCAATCATAAAAGCAGTGGTTATTAATTTAGCTCGCTGCTGCGGTTTATACTGCGCTGCTTTTGTAATATGTCAAGCCTATAAGTAGAAACACAGTCCATTTATGTTCTGATCTTTTTCCTGATTCATCACTCGTCGCTATCGCAAAACTTAAACAGTATCCTGCGTCCCGACACCGAGTTTAAAACTGAATCGAAAGCACTTCCAAGGCCTCATCGACGTAAACAAACGGCCCCTCTGATGATGGATCCTGTTGAAATGACACACGGAGGGAAAAAATGACACAGAAGAAGAAAAAGTTCAGAAAAAGAAACAGTCAGCAGAAAAAAAAAAACAGACCTGAAAGAGATGGAGCAGAGAGGAGGTGTGCGATGATTTATTTTTTTTTTTCTGAGGCTGATATAAAGAGCCATCAGTCTTCAGCTCCAAATGTTCCCATCAAGTAAACATCAATAAATATGCATGAAGGCAGAGAGGGAGGGCAGGAGAGAGGTGACCAGTGGACAAACCGACGCTTTGACTCACAGAAAATCCCTCCTGGGACAATATGTGAAGACTGAAACCTGTCCAAGATCAGCAGCAGGATGACTGAAGTGAAACACACCTTAAAATGTTGGTACAGCCAGAACGTCTTCTTGTGAGTGATTGTCTGCAGCCTCTAAACTCTGCTGAGGAAACATTTGGTGCTGTGATGGTGGTATCTAACACGTCACTCACTAACCTTTACAGCTGTTGGAACCATCCAAAGAACTCAACTGCTGAAAAGAAAATCATCTACGGGACCCCAGAATCCCCCTCTGGGACTGCAAGTACCACCAAAAGGACCTCCAGAACTTTTTTCATAACCACAGCGACCATGTAAAGAACTTCCAAAACTTTTTTAGCAACCGAATGGCAACTGGAATCTTCTACAGGATGATAAGAACCACCTAGAG